ATTATCTACTAATGTCAAACTTTGTTTCATTAATGCATTGCATATATTTGTCTTGAATTAATCCATTCGTTTTCATTACATTTAAACTATGCTTTTTACTCTCTTTATGACATTTAACTCTTGCTAAAAGTTACAAGCCTTTAGAGGGAGGATGACGAAAACAATGCCATAATCTCATACAATATGCTTTTGAACAGACCTTGCTAACAATGTACAGGCGTTCTTTCAAATCCTAAACACTGGAGTTATAAGGAAGATAATCCCTAGTAAACCCCTTCGAGCCAAAGAAGTAGAAGTTTTCTTTTTACACAAATTGAGACCTTTAATCAAAACCAGGGGGAGGGTAGTCTCTTAGTTAATTTAAATGCGTGTTCAGTCGCCAACTTTCACTTTGTATACAACGAGTGATATGAAAAACATTCCTCTGGAATCAAAAGACAGTGATAGTTCCCTACCACATAGGTAGTCATTATCTCTCAAAAAGAAAATCCCACTAAGTCAACCTACAAAGGAGAAGAAAAACTAGGGCATCCCGCTGACCGTAAACAAGAACAGTCAGGAAAAATTAGGGATAACAAATCAAAAGAAAGAGGTCACTACAAATCCTCAACAACATGAAAAATGTTGCAAGAAATGACTGCCTTCTGATAAACTAAACTTGTCTGAACCATCACCAAAGCGTCATTCCAGAGTCAATTGGAGTTCGAACGCACAATTAGCTAAGTTTAGGATCGAAGAACATCACGAAGAACGGGCGGGTACAAATACACCTTGAGCCTTATCCTTTGTTTCTTAAACCGTGAACCAAGCCACAATACAACCTTTCAAAGTCCTAATTGAAGCATGGGTTAGTTCGAAAGAATACTGTTACAAAAGGTATCCTGACTCCTTTAGGGCTTTACTCTAAATCCTGAGTTTGAATTTTCTTACAAAATCTCTTTACTTGCTAAAATGCCTTTTCAAAATCTCAAGACAAGCATAAACTTTGCATTATTTGAATATCACTGTTTGCATATGGATATTTGTTTGACAGCGGAGAAATTCACACAACGAATATCCGATGAACGAAAGCTCTCTCAGTGACAAAATCACCTCAAGTGGGATGACATTTCCAATGACAAATCTCCTATCAACAAAGGGCATGACATGTCACTATCCAGCACACCCGAGACAGTCCAGTCAAGATTCCAAGAAATCTCTTAAGAAGTGCAGAATAACCAAGGGCAGGTCTTCACCTAAATCACTTGGGGCATTGAACGTGAATCCCGACAAAGGGTTACGTACAATCAAATATTTCCTGGCAGTGCCACAAACACTCGCTACTAAGGGCAGTGACAAATCTCCCCAAAATCCTTCTCATAGGATGACTCCTAGCCAGAGTTTCAATCTCTGAAAACCTCTCCCCAGCTAAGTCGACCTCAAGAATCCTCGAGGATTTTCCCCAGTGAAGTCGCTACCTCTCCAACAGACTGACAAAATGGTTTATTTCCCCAACAAACTACGGATTCCCCAACTTGGGGTGGCCTCTCTGACTACTACAATTCAAAGGACAATAACCCCTCTTCCCCAGTAGACTACTCTACAATCCCCAGCAAGTTACTGTGAAGCCTGGACCCGACCAAATATCAGCTCAACTTCGTCCATCAAGAGATGACTCCCCAGCATTTATCAAGGATTTATGTTCCCAGACAAAAAAATACATTCATCAACATTTCGCATTTCATACATCCTATTTACATACATGACAAGTGCATACGACACAATCTCATTTATTTTGAGAACATCATTGTGAAACAACCGGCTGAAAATCATCAAACAATGAAGTCGCCATCGAACGTCTTTTATCCCACAGGAAGGGAAAGGTAAACATCAAGAAAACCTGAGAAGGGTGAAATCAAGGTCTTGCGACCGAGAGATAAGGGTAAGGGAGTCTGTTACGCGAGGGGAAGGTATTAGCACCCCACACGCCCGTAGTACTCTACGGTATCCACTCTTGTCGTCTATCTTATGGGTGTGTCTAATCTACGCTTACTGTTTATTATACTACTAAAGGGAAATGCATGCAAAATAAAAGGGAAAAAATGTAGGGAAAATAAAATTGTGCTCGCTCGGGCCCTACCCCAATGCCTACGTATCCCTTTTTAGGAATCAGAGCAGCCGTAGTTCGGCTTATATGTTTTTGTTTGTTTGTATTTTTTACTGAACAATATTAATTTCGCCTTCTGCCGCAACTCGACCGTTGGAGACTTACGCGTCAGCACAGAAGTGAATTAACATGCTCTTCTGAAAAGTTTGGAAAGAAATGTGCCTGGACGCACAAAAAGGTTTGAACTTGTTTGTTTTTGTAATGAACGATAGTAATTTCGCCTTCTGCCGCAACTCGACCTTTGGAGATTTACGCGTCAGCACAGAAGTGAATTAGTACGCTCTTTTGAAAAGAGTTTGAAAGAAAGGGCCCGAAGGCAAAAGATTTTTATGTTTGTTGGTGTTTTTCGCTTGTAGAGAATGACTAGTTAATCTCAAGGGAGAGATTTTAGCCATGTCTCTACTTATTCATGAAATGATTCTTTGAGACTTGAATCATACCAAAGCTTAGAACAAGAGAATAATAAGGTCGAGAAGAAACCCGCTTATCATCTCTCAAACTTAGCCAAGACATGATTCTTGTCAGTAAATTTAAAGTGTTTTGAATTTTGCAAGAGAAAGAAGTTTTTTTTTGTTTTAGATGCGTATGCGAAAAGAGAAAAAAAGTCAAAGGGGGACTAGCCTATTTCTAAACCTAATGTTATTGTGTATTAGACCTGAAGTTAGAATTTTGAAGGAATTCTACCTAATGTTAGCATGCATATGGTTTGCGATAAAGAAATGCAATAAAGTGCGAAATGAGGGATAAAATAAGAATGTGACGATACCGAACGGAGAAGGTCCGTTGCCTCTTCAAAGTACCGCAAGTGGTAAGAAAACTCTATAGAAGTTACAACGCATGAGTGATCGAAAATTAATATCCAAGCATTTCCCATTGCGAAAGTTATATCAATATCCGAACAAAATCTTAACTAAGGATGAAAACGAAAATGGTTACTAAACATAAATGCTAATAGAAAATTCTAATTAAAATTTAAAAAAAGAAATTCTAGAAAAATTCTATTATATACTACCTCTTTTTAATTATTATTTTTTTTTATAGAGAAAAATTCTAACAAACAAACGAGAATTAATTCCTAGATCAAAAAAAACTAACAAGTTTTTATGGATTTTATGACATGTGCAAAAAAACAATAAAAATGGGCCCAAGACAAGCAATCCGGCCCAAGATCCATCAACAATAATCCAAGCTTATTTTTTTGTTTCTTTATTATTTTACTAAAAATAAATAACTAATAAAATAAAGAAAGAAAAAAAAATAAGAAAAAAAGAAAATTGAAAGGGGATGAAAATATAAGATTTGGTTTCGAGGAGTGGTCTTCTTCATTCGTCAACGGCGGCGCGATACCATTTCTCTTCGCCGCTGCATGTCAATCCCTGCCGTTCCCTCCAACAATTCTCTCCATTCTCGCTCAATCTGTCATCCGCCATCATCGAAGCTCTATCTCACGATTCCGCCGCGCCATGAATAAGAGGCTCAAACCTCTTCTTTTACAATCGTCGTTGTCGCCGCTCGAATTATCTTTGAATTCAATACAAGCTCACCGCGAATACTCGACACCTCCATTCATCCTCTCCACCGTAACTACTTTGCTTCAGTTTTGATGAAGATGACGAGACTTTCAAATTACCCGCTTCTCTATAATGCGCTCTTACTTTTCGATTATGTTTCAGAGATCGATCTGACGCGTCTTCTTCTCCAATTTATTTTTTTACGTATGAATTGCAGCACTGTTGTTGTTGATTCTACGCAACTCGTGATGTTGATGAAACCGATCGAAAATCCGAGTTGATGATGATGCAAGTGTTGCGGATTCCTGACGAAGTTGCTGTGAGATAAAGATGAAGATGGCGAGGTTGCTGAGGCTTGCAGTGAGAGTAAAAAACACAGAGCTGTAGTTGATTGATGAGCAAAGCTCGATAATGACGAAGGTGATGATGGAGCTGTGATATGATGATGTGTGTTTAGTGAGTGAGAGGTTTTGACGAAGATGAAGAGAAATTGAGAGAGAAATCAGAGAAACGAGACTCAAAGCTCAATGATGATGGTGGAAACCGCAAAGAATGGAGACTAAAGGGAGCGTTGACGAAAGATCAACCGGGACCCATTTGATATGCTTTTGACAGTGTTGTAATGACCAGAAATCCAGTTACAAATCAGGTACATCCTCCATTCTATTCTTCTTCCGTTCTTGCAATTTTGAACAAAGTTGTAATGTTGAAAACTTGGTAATGATGGTTGAATTTGGACTGATGTGAGGAATTGATACTTTACATTTGTTTTTGCAGTGAGAAACGCGATGTAGGATTGATAATGATTGAAGCATCGAGGTTGTGATATCCAATTTATTGAAGATGAAAGAGGGTGATGAAGAGTAGAGTAATTCTGGTGAAGGGGCGATTTAAAGAACATGAAGATGAAGTTGATGAAATTCGATTGGAGGAGTAATTTGCGGTGGTTGCCGAGAAGAGTAAGAACTGTGAAGAAGTTTCAGAAGATGATGAAGCAATATTGATGATTATGCGATTTCAGAGAAAATTGGAAGGTGAGTTTTTTTGTGTTGAATCATAAAATCATCCTCTTCCAACTGAATGATAATCTCCCTGTTATATAGATTTTCTGCTATATTGTTTAGAAGATGGGATTTGGTTAGAAACTATTTAGAGTTTGTTAGGAGTTTGTTTGGAGTTTGTTAGGACAGTTAGAAAATCCTGTTAGAAGTTATGCAGTGTTGTTTAGTTGGGTTAAAAGGAGTTAGTTATAGAATTGGTTAGGAGTTAGTAACTGTTTAGAGTTAGTTTTTTTTGAAACTGAAATTCAGTTATGTGACCTTGAAATGGGCTGGCACTATTTGTTAGTTTGTAGTTCTGTTTCTGATTCCATCATTTATATTTGCAGCATGCAGGGCAACACCAAGAACTATTGCTTCATCAGCATCAAGATGCCAATCAATTTCTTTTCTACCAAGGAACTCTTGAAGCTTAGCCTGTAACTTTGGCACTCTGGTAGCACCTCCAATTAGCTCCACTGCATATTTTTGATCTGCTGACAAGCCTGAATGCTCAAGCAACTCTTTCATACAAATTACGAGGCCAATTCCTCTTTACATTATTTGCAATAAAACTGGAAGTCTTAGCCCTCAAGGCACGAAGTGATCCATCAGAGTCAGAGGTCTGGTATACAAGCTTGGACATGAGGAGATAAATTTTCAAACACCTCAATAGAAGTATCAGGTTCTCGAGGATCTAGAGGCGAAAATGGAAGTTTAGCAACCTCCCTTAAAGCATCAATGTGATTCCCAAGTCTTGACAATTTGTGAATTGATAATAATGACTCAAGTTGTCTTCATTTCAATTTAATAATCCACCACACTGTAGTGAAATTGTATACATAACTAATTGTTAATTAAATATAAAATGACACTGCATTTTCGGTCTTAACTTCTTCTTTGCCTTTTACTTCCTTATTGATGACTTTATTCTCTATGGATGAGTTAAGTCCAGTTGAACTTTTTTTTTGTTGCACACATCATACATGTCTAAGATAACAAATGTATTACGCACATGGGAGCATCTGGGTGTGGGAAGGAAACAAATTTGTTCTACAGTATTCAGAGTATTCTTTTTCCAAAACAAAAACAATCTATATAATAAACTTATTGTAATTGTTAACATTTGTCATAAAGTCCAATGTAAGGATTCCATTGGCAACACATAACAAACACAAAGGAAATCATCATTTTTTTTCTTTACTCTTCTGCGGCGCTGGCGGCACTAAGATCCACAGAGAGGTCGAGAACCTTGCCGGTTATCAATGTATACATGTTGAAGACATCCATTACTGTTGACTCAAAGTGTGTGGTAGCATCATAATTGGTTGATACAAAGCAGTTGTCTAGAGTGGGTTCATTGACTGGTTCATATCTATCGTACATATCAAAAAATATCTCATCAACAGGTCCTAGAAGGTCAATCCCAGGGTTAAGTTCAATAGCAGGCTGATCTGTCTCTGCCTCAGTTGATACAAATGCAATATATTTTCCCTTTGGGCAAACATTGTGAGAATACGAGCAACAGAATAGGTACATGTCTGACTTTCGACCCAACTGCTTCTGTGGGAGAATAACTTGCACTGATTGGGAGTCATTGGTGCTGGGGATCGGATGGCTCATGATGGCTATTGCTCTTGAAACCTTTCCAACCTTTCCAGGCAAATATGATGGATCACAAACAACTTTCTTGCACTTGGCCGTTTCCCCTTCAGATGTGACACCAATAACCTTTCCTTCAGCATCAAATCCTACCTTGCATTCAGGTTTGTTCACCATATATGTACCACCATAAACAGCACTAAGCCTTGCAAATGCATGGGGAAGCTCTCCTAAACCATACAAAGGGTATATGTAGGGTGATCCCCCTTGAAATCGTGCAAGAGACTCTGCATATAATTTCATTCTCTTCACAGTGTCCAGAGCTGGCTCACTCAAGTAGCGATCATCTCTATGAAGCGCCAAAGCATGACCAATGAAATCCACAGTGTTATCATCAAGGCCAATTTTTGCTATCAGGTCCTTAGTAGTCACTCTTGTCAAGTCCAGCCCCTCATGAGTTTTAGGATCACTCTCATTATAATCTTGAACATAAATGAAAAACTTGCGCGCACGTCGTTTTTTTCAAATATCCCCATAAGTGGAGATTTCAAGGCCTCCATATCATTTGAAGGTACTTTGTGAACCTTTGCTTTGTTAAAGACAAAACTTCCATCCACAGCTTTAAAATGGAAATACTTGGTAACATCAGTATGAATGAGAACCCTCACTAACATGCCATTAGCCACAATGAACTTAGGGTTCATGTCAATATTATAGTCTTTGCTAGAACCCAAATGTGGAGGAGGATTATCATCTCCTTTGAATTTCTTCCAAAGCTGAATAAGATTGAGCGAGGTGGATTCTCCTCCGTAATAGTCATTTCTATCCATGTGAAGAACCTTGAGGCCATCGACGGATAGAAGACCACCGAGAATGCATTCCTTGAGACCGGTTCCCAAAACAATGACGTCGTACTCTTCATCCATTTTCTTGGATCTCGGATCGGAATGAAAAGGGGGTTTAGGGTTTCGAAATAAGAAAAAGACAGAAGAGGAAGAAAGATGGATTTTGATTTGATTGTCAAACAGTCTAACTCAAACACTTTGCCTTCAGAGATTGCTTCTATTCGGTGGTGGTGACGATCATGCTGTGTTTCTTAACTTTTAGTCCACTGCCAGAAGTCCTAAGCTCCTTAATAGATGTTAGGCTAGGTAACTCCTTTGGAAGATACTCAAGTCTTGAACTCTCAAGATTAAGCCACTTAAGATTACGAAGAAGCCCATTAGATAGGTCAAGTGTTTGAATCTCTATACTGCTTAAATCCAAGTTTTCAATGAAATCCGAGGAGACGGAAAATTCCTCGAGACTTGTGCAGCCAATGACACTGATCTTTTCCAAAAAAACTTTAAACGTTTCCGGCCTTTAACACTCCTAAGCTTCGTACAACCGTCAAGTATCAGAATAATAAGTGTTTCAGCCAAAAGAACGGATGAATGAAGATCCACCGAACTCACACAAATATAATGCTTTTGAGGAGCTGGTAACAAAGATGGAAATATGGAAGAAGTATAACCAAGATATCCTTAAAACTACTAATCCACATTGACTTGTATTGTGAGCAAAAACTAACGATGATGAGAACAAAAATGGCCTTGATCAACATGAATCTATGGTACCATTCCTTATGCCATGACCTCATACTTTTCAATTCAACCCCACAAGTCCTTTGTTTTGTCAAAAAATGTCTTTGTGGGATCCTTGAAGAAGATAAAATTTGAAGCTTAGAAGGATATCCTCTAATCATTCCTCATTGATGAACATCAACAAACTCACACACAAAATGCAAAACCTTAACCTGCTTGTATTAGGTGCACAGTGACGACTTGAGACATGGATAGAATAATATTCAAAATGTCTTTGAAATGAAACAAAGCATCATCTTCCAATAGACATAGGGAAATAAACCCAAATTTTCAGACTTAACAGATAAAACCTTGCAACTTAATTTTTGAGATGAAGAGAATAACCTCGTAGCTTGATAAAGAAGAAATCCACAACAACCGTCAATCAAAAACCCTAAATTCACAATTCAATGCACCAGAAGACTCAGTTTTGTTAACCAAAAGAAAACCTGAGCTTCACAACCAATGATTCTCTGAACCATGATTCGACAAAACCCGAATTGGTTAATTGAAGAGTGGATGAATGCCATGTCAAAGTCATTAAGCATGTTGTTTATCAGAAAATAATAGCCTTGCTGCTTGAGGGAAAGGAAGTCCAAAAAATGAGAATGAACCACAACCCTAATTCCCCAACTTGCTGACACCAGGGAGACCCTGAATAATCAGGCTCATTTCACACATACACCTTAAATCAGTTGTAAACTTTAGCTCCCTAACTACTGGTCTTTTGAACCTCAGGCGATCTATTTTTATGAAAAATGCGTGCTATGCCAATGACCCATTGGAATGATGCAGATGAATGCAAAAAGTCTGAGCCAAATAAAAGAGATTAGGAGGGCAAATTTTGGGGTGCAACAGCTACCCCTATTTAATCGCCTTAGACCTGAAGGTGAGATTGACGTCAGCCTTTCGAACCTTCAAGGTAAAAGAAGATTAAATACTAAAAGAACCCAAAAATTTGCGCTCCGAAGCCTGTCAGGTATTATTATATCTTTAGTTTTCTGTATTTTCTGTATATATTTTTTTTTAGGTAAAAAGGATTATCAGGGCTAGATGTATGTTTAACCAGAGTTTGACACACCGAAGGATAACTTGGTTATCGAGGAACTCTGTTGGGAATTAGTGACAAACACCTGTAAGAAAGATATCAAAAAAATATATGCCTGAAGTCTGTAGCAGACATACGAAAAAAAGTATCAGAGACACATATCCGGGGTTGGTAGCGGATACGCAAGAAAGAGACATAAAAAATACATATCCGTGGTCGGTATCGGATACGTAAGAAAGATATAGAAAAGATACATATCCGTGGTCGGTATCGGATACGTAAGAAAGAGATAGAAAAGATACATATCCGTGGTCGGTATCGGATACGCCCAAAAGAGATATCAAAGATACATATCCGTGGTCGGTATCAGATACGCACAAAAGAGATATCAAAGATACATATCCGTGGTCGGTATCAGATATGCATAAAGGAGATATCAAAGATACATATCCGTGGTCGGTATCGGATACGCATAAAGGAGATATCAAAGATATGTTAGAACAAAGTTTGAATCTACTACCCTATATTTAAGTTTTGATGATAACAAAGTGAAAAGATATATTATTTATATGATTCATGTATGAACTATCTGCTGCCTAAATTATTACGTTCTGATTTGCAGATACTATGATTGATATAAGCAAGATCACACCTAATCAGCATCAGAAATTTGGTTCCTAACATCAGCATCAGAAGTTGCCATATTAGAATGTCAGAATTAGAAGATTAACTCACGTATTTGCTGAAGCCTGATGAACAAAACTGCGCTCAACACTCTGATAAAGAAACACAACAGTTCATCAGCAGCTAAGCAGAATCAGAATGAGCCAAGCCAGAACTTGCATTAAGTAAGCAACGGTACTGTGCATTGAAAGCAAATTAATACCAACGGCCTCATTCCAGACAAGATCTGCTCGATAAGGAAAGTTTCTTATTAGCATTGAATCAAGAATATTGCTCCAACGCTCAACATCTCAGTGCTATATAAACAAGACTTTGAAGATTGAATTGGCTAATGCTCTCCAATCTTTACACGCATAAAAGCTGATCAAAATCTTCCTTCTCTCAGTTTGCTAAACACTACACATTCTCATATTCAATCATTGTTTAGCAATCTATTTTCTAAGCTTTAAGTTGTGTATACATCACAGTTGTGATACAGTTTTGTAGAAAACATTCACACACTTAGATTTATCTTCTTTGTAAGAAAGTGTTTCCTTGACAAACCGGGTTGTGGTTTGCATCAAGAAGGCTTTAGCAGTTGTTAAAGCAGTCTGTAATATTCAGTTGAATATAGTGGATTAAGACCTCGTTGGAGAGAGGCGAAATCACCTTGACGGGTGGACTGGAGTAGTTTGAGATCAAACGAACCAGGATAAAAATATCTTGTTCATTGCATTGATTTTCAGTTTTACAATTCAACCCCCCCTTCTTGTGTTTCTCACTACTTCAATTGGCATCAGAACGCCTGGTTCTGAGCTAAAACACTTAACCGTGTCAGTACAAGATCCAGCGTCAGAAAAACACAATGGCAGGAAACTATTCTCACACCAGCAATGACAACAATGAGGACAGAGACAGATTCAGCGACAAACTTCCAGTCTTTGATGGAGAAAACTTTGACTACTGGAAAGACAGAATTGAAAGCTTCTTTCTGGCACATGATGCTGATTTGTGGGATATGGTGACAGACGGATACACGCACCCTGTGAATGCAAGCGGTCAGAAGATTGATAGAAAAAAAATGTCTGACCAACAAAAGCGTGACTTCAAGAATCACCACAAGGCCAGAACCATCCTCCTCAGCGCCATCTCCTATACTGAATATGAAAAGATCTCCAACAGAGACACAACAAAGAATATTTTTGACTCACTCAGAATGACGCATGAGGGCAACGTTCAGGTCAAAGAAACTAAAGCTCTGGCGCTCATTCAGAAGTATGAGGCGTTCAAAATGGAAGAATCTGAATCCATTGAAACAATGTTCTCAAGATTCCAGATTCTGGTAGCTGGTCTCAAGGTTCTGGACAAAGGATACTCTACTGCTGACCATGTCAAGAAAATCATCAGAAGTTTACCCAAGCAGTGGAGACCAATGGTTACAGCTCTGAAGCTAGCTAAAGATCTCAACAAAATCACTCTGGAGGAACTTATCAGCTCCCTCAGAAGTCATGAGATAGAGCTAGAAGCTGACGAGCCTCAGAAGCAAGGTAAGCCTTTAGCATTAAAATCTAACAAAAAATTTGAGTCTAAAGTTTTGCAGGCAGTTGAAGAAACATCTGATGGATCCTCATCAGAAGAAGACGAACTCTCCCTCCTTTCTAGAAGAGTAAATCAACTGTGGAAGCAAAGACAAAGGAAGTTCAGGAATCCCAGAAGATCTGATCAGAACGAGTCTTCTTCCAGATACAGAAGGACAGATTCTTCCTCTAGATACAGAAGATCTGAAGGCTCCTCTAGCAGCAAAAAGCCAAACACCAAGGACATCATCTGCTATGACTGCAATGAGCAAGGACACTATAAGAGGGCAAACATAGCTCTCATGGCTAACATCTTAGAAGATAGTGAAGCTTCTGAATCAGACTCAGAATCAGATACTGAAGAGGTATTTCCTAACTTTGCTGTTAACTTTACAAAGGCTGAACTTGCTGAAAGCCTTAATGAGATTCTGGAACGGTATCAGCAAATTAGAGTTAAATTCAGAGACCTGAAAAGGAATCTTGAATCTGACTCTAATAAGACTGAGAGTCTCAAATTGGAGAATTCTGAGCTGAGAAATAAGATTTCAAAATTAGAAAACACTTTACAAAACTCTCAGAAGGAACCAATTTCTGAAACTCCCAGCAACGCTGATGAGATCATCAAGGAGTATGATCACAGTTTCCAGAAGTTCCTCGCTAAAAGCATAGATAGAAGCAAAATGGCTTCAATGATCTATGGAGTTAGCAGAAACGGCAGGAAAGGAATAGGATACCAAGGTAAGGTTCCTACACCAAAGAATGTCATGGACTTAACCATTAAACACACTCCTCTGAATTCACATTTTGTGTATGGTCACACACATGATATTAAATACACTAGCAGTAAGCACTCTATGAAACCAAAATTCAACCAGAGTTTTGGTAAAACTAACAAATCAGGACCCAAGAAAATCTGGGTACCTAAGGATAAAATAATACATGTTGCAGATATCTTTAGCAGCAAGTCAGAAACACCAGTCATGGTACCTGGACTCTGGCTGCTCGCGACACATGACGGGAAGAAGGCATATGTTCCAAAGCCTGGAACTTAAGCCTGGAGGCCACGTTGGTTTTGGAGGCAATCAGAGGGGAAAGATAATTGGCTCTGGAACTGTAGGTAATGGAAATCTTCCCTCTATTAATAATGTTCTGCTAGTAGATGGATTAATGCATAATCTGTTATCCATAAGTCAATTAAGTGATAACGGTTATGATATAATCTTTAATCAAAAATCATGTAAAGCTGTTAGTCAGAAAGATGGGACTATCCTGTTTAATGGTAAGAGGAAAAACAACATCTACAAAATCAAACTTTCTGAACTAAAGAGTCAGAATGTAAAATGCCTTCTGTCTGTTAACAACGAGCAGTGGATCTGGCACAGAAGATTGGGGCATGTTAGTATGAGAAGAATATCTCAGATTAACAAACTCAATCTGGTCAGAGGACTTCCTAATTTGAAGTTCAATCAGATGCTCTGTGTGAAGCATGTCAGAAAGGCAAGTTTGCAAAACCTTCTTTTAAATCCAAAAATGTTGTTTCTACCTCTAAGCCATTAGAACTTCTGCACATTGACTTATTTGGACCAGTTAAAACTGCTTCAGTCAGTGGTAAGAAGTATGGGTTAGTAATCGTAGATGACTATAGCAGATGGACATGGGTAAAGTTCTTAAGACACAAGGACGAGTCACACTCTGTGTTTGTTACCTTCTGTAACCAAGTTCAGAATGAAAAGGATCTTAGAATCGTTAAAGTCAGAAGTGATCATGGTGGAGAATTTGAAAACAAAGATTTTGAGTCATTCTTCAATGACAGAGGCATTCTGCATGATTTCTC